AAACGTACGCAACCTATCAACAAAAACAAAATTACTCATTGATTCAACAAAAAAATTTAACTTAACCAGCTTTATTTCTATTCAATGAATTTTGCTAGTTGTTTTTCAAAATATATTTAGTAAGATTTTCAGATTTGTTTTCTGCTCTATATTTTTGTCACAAAATGCGGCTAGAAAAGATTTACCCACGTTTTCTTAGATTAAAAAAAAAATTGATGTTTATTTAATATTACTCAATACTCTATTATAATTTAGTAAATAAGAGTTGACGGTATTTATAATGATATCATATATTAAAATTAACATTAACATTAATTACATTGTGATATAATTCTATAACAATTCGTCCTCTAAAATAAAAAGAAATCATATTTTTATATTAATAGATGTACATAATATAAATAATATAAGGATGATAATAACAAAATATCTTTGTTTTACAAAAATTAGCAATTTGAGTCATACATCTCAAATAAAAGTTAAGTTTTGAATATATACAAAAATGAAATGAAATATTGATTATAATTTTTTTATTTTATAAATACACATTACAATGTATTTTTATATTTTAATTGTTTATTACTTTATGCACTATTATAGAAATATTTAAATATTAATTATTAGGGCAATTAGATTATTTACGGATGATAATTAATAATTAATATAATGATCAGTGTGTTTATTTCTCCCAATTTTTTGGTATTCTCGGGATTCACACTATATTTTCTGTATTTCGAAACGTGTGTAACAATGAAAGTACATTTTAAGTTCATTGTGTGCAATTATTCCTACGCTTTAATTAAAACTCGCCTCAACTCATTTATTGCACAATATTCAAAATTTTACTAGTACAAATGATGTACACAAATAATTTATTTGTAAAACCTATAAGTTTTATAATGGAATTTCCAGGATGCATTTCAAAAATAAAACATTCATAACAGTTTAAAATTATTATTTTGTCTCAAGAAGCCCAACTCGATTGATACTCTTGATAACGTCTAGCACCACTCAGATATTTTTATTTTACAAGTAACATAAGAAAGAACGTTATAACAATTTTTTCTTGTCATGAAAATAGTACAATTTTACAATTTCCTATATTATTCCTGACAAAGTATTACTTTATATTCTCAAACATTGAATTATTTATACATTTACATAATTTCTACTGTACTCTAACTAATATAGTGATATCGTAAATTTGGAAAGTTTATTTTACACTATGTGGTTTAGTGTATAAAAAGAAATTGCTCAACAAAGTCAATATTAACACTTATTCGTTATTCGTTTATTTACTTCATGTAATCATCGTTCGACCAGTATTTGTTTAATATATGATCCAGTAGCCTTATGGTAAACTAACACATTTAGTTTAATGTTAAACACTATTGAAGATGTCTTTTCATATAAAATTTAAATACTTTGTATTATTTCAAGGTGGTCTTCAAAACCTTTATTATAAGAAAAATTTACTAGTATACTTTTCGCAAATAAAAGTGGTTCTATTAAAAATATTTACTGTCATATTCATCGAAGGCTTGTTTGTGTAATTATATTTTTGTTGAAACTCAGTATCAACAGGTATCCAACGTTATACAATAATATAGTTCTGATATTGAGAATGACTGATAAACATAGATAATTAGCACAAAGCTAATTATAGATAGAATTGTCTTAATTTATTTGAATTATTCACATCATTGTGATTCGTTAAATTTTACTTATTAACGAACTAAAATGTATGTATACGTATAGAAGTTATAGTTGACAATGTATTATTATACACATTCATAAAGAAGTCCCTCTCGTTCACTTCGAGCACCTTTCGCTTTTGTATATGTTTATATTTTCCAAACATTCATTATTATTCAAATTGTTTTTTTACGGGTGGCCGTGGATATAAAAATCGTGTGTTTAGGGCTAAATGTTTATTTTTCGAACCTTTCTGTTGTAAGAAATTGACACGTTTTACAATGTGCATCATCTTCCACTTCATGAACTTACATTTTCTCATAAATGGACATACGGTATGGACTATTGCCATTCTTTATAACGTTGTTTATTTATTTTTTTGCTACATTGGCTTAGTGAAATCATCTGTGTAGGAGATGTATCCGAAAACTTGTCTAAGATGAGGTCACCATATAAATTTATTTATTTTATTTAGGTTGTGCAAAATATCATTCAAAATTGCAACTACACGTTTCACTTACGGAATTTTCCTATGGTTTTTACTGTAAAAAAGGCGTCTGATATATTTTAGCATAATAAAAATAATAGTGCTATAAATTAGCATTTATGTATTAAAAGGGCCGCTTAAAATCAATAGTCTACTTATTTGAATATCGCAATATATATGCCCAATTTTTTAGTGGAGCCGAGTTCGCCCCAGAATTTAGTACCTATAAATATTATAGGTCAAGCTGTTATATTTTTATTGGTACAATTATAATTACACCTTTAAAATAATATGGCATGCATGAATACTATTAAATTTTGTTGACCTCGACAGTAAACCTAATTGATTCGCCCACAATTATAAGTTACAATTTATAACGGTATCATGTGAACTATTGGGACAATTGTTTTAATTTTTTTCGTGGCATGAGATACTCACTAATGATAATAACCGTATCAGATTTATATATAAAATATTGTTATTTTTATTACCAAAAATCGTTTTTTAATTCCCATTTTGAAGAAACTTCTCAAGAACGCGTGAGGTGGAATAGAGATTAGTGCCGCAAGTTTTATATCCCTTCATTGTGTCCTTATTTTCCGTTGCATGTGTACCAATTATCAATACTCTAGATGGTATTTTTTTGTTGCTGTCGGGTCAACGCCAACCGTGAATTAAAACAAATCGAGAAGATTATTTAGATTTTTTTTCTTTGGATTGCAATTATTTATGTTTTTTGTTACGTCAAAACGAAATGCATCTAAAACGCTGATCTTGACTATATTTTTAGTTTTAATAATAATACAGTATTGTGTAAAAAATTGTACGTGATGTTTTCACTGGTGTACTACGGCGGCTTTCTGCAAGACATACGCCGAATAAGATCCGAAACTGCTACTCAAGATGGAGAAACAACGGACAATGAAGGACGCAATGTTTTGTACATTTAGAATGAACAGAAACATTTGTTGTTTTTATTAGCAAAAGGAAAAAAAATGAAATATAAACACTAACAAAACCAATGCACTGACTACAGCGTTGATCGCGAACCTTGAAAAAAATAGAAAATATTGTCATTTGGTTATCTTTGTATAATTCTGTTCACGTTTGCATGTCTTGGCTGACGAAGGACATATTCAAACTAACATTTTAATATTGTTCGATAAGATTATTGTTTTAAAGTTTTTAAATAGCGCGATTCGTTCTTGGGAAGCAAAATTTTAATGAAATCAAATGAACTGCTAGCAATTTATTTATGTTTTTTACTGTTCACAATTAAAATGTCTTCCAAAAAAATCATTTTCATTCTATTTTTTGGTAATCCTTCAGTAAATATGTGTATTTTGACCGTTTTAATACATTATGTGTAAACACCATAACAGTAACTAGTATATTAACTACCATTAATGCGTAATGCTATTAATCAAAAAGAATTTGTGGGTTTTGATTATTAAAACAATTAAGAATTACTAATTAGGAATTTTATAAACATAGACTTTTGAATACTACAAAAAAAAGTATTCTATAACAGCTGTTATTGTTACTTTCCAAAAGTAATAGTGACAGTTAGACTTATATCTTAAACTATATTTAGATAAGCATTAATATAATTAAAATTATACTATAAAAAATACTGCCAGCTAAACTTTAAAGAAACTGTTGATAAGACCTACGTATAGGTGATGTTTTTTACGAGTAAATACGCAAATTTGTTTATATAGTATTTTTTTTTTCATCAGACTTGATTGACGTGAGCAGAGTAGGTATCATATGTTCTTATCAAAACTAAAGTTTTTGCTGATTAATATAAAAGCAAAAAAATATGTGCACAAATGTGATGGATTATATTATACTTAGTGGCTATTTAAACTTTTATAAGTGGTTTATCAGTCGATAAATTAGTTTGTGTTTAGAAAAACTTATTATATTGAAAATTAATTTTGTTTATATTAAAAATAAATCTTGAATATTTATGAGCGATTAAATAATCGACAAACTTATAAAAACAAAGTCTCTAATTATATTTAAAAATTTTTAGAAGACAAAAAAATTCATATTTAATAAAAATGCATTATTATTATCATCGGTTTAGAATCGTCATCTTGTTTAGTATCTTCGTATTAATTATTTTTCGAATTAGAACTTTTAGTCTGTGCAAGTGCCTGAATTCATCGTTCGCTATGCGTTTTATAAAAGAAATCATTTTAAAGTTACATGTTTTAATTATGAACAGTACTATAGAATTTTGTCTTTAGAAACACTCATAACAAAAACAGCTCAATGTTTCGCGTGTGTTGTGATTAAGATAATTGATCGATTATTTCGATTTAGGTTAATTTCTCACTAGATATTCGGAAATTTGCATTACTCTTATTTTTAATGTTAATACTAATTAGTGGGTGATGACGTCTCGGGCAAATGTCTACGTTATAGTTGATTACCAGTGAGTAACGCTGATAATTCCCTGTGAGTGTCCACCGTCACCGCTACTTGCGAACGCTTCAGTGTGTGTTACGTCACCCAGACCGTAGACACCGGTCAGCCACGGCACGTGACCCACGCAGAAATCAGCCATCGGGCATCTGGTACTCCCGTTAATGGGTATGCCGGGCGCTTTATCAGGACGAGTGAACGTTGTTTTGGTGCGGAGAAGTGAATCGGTTTCAATTATAATCGACAAATTGTATTAAATTTTCGCTCGAGAGCTAATAGTGAAACTTCTTAAAACAAAGCCACCTGAAACACGCTGACACAGAGGTGGTATTTAGAGATAGCGCCACTTGTCGAACGGTCGACGGCAGAGTTTCTCCGGCCGTCGCTGCCGTGGTGGTGTGACTCAGCAGCTGCAACAACAACGGCACCGGGTCCCCGCCTGTCTCATTCGTCTGCTCGGTTTCGCCTTGTCCGCGTCTACTTGTGTTTTGCGTTTGCCGCCGTTAAAGCGTGTTCTTCAACGTGTGTATTTTAACAATTGTACGTTTTTTTTTTCGTGATAACGAAATAATATTGTTGTGCGTTTACTCTTTTATTTTTTAAAGAGATTTTTGTTTTAATTTACGACGTTCGTTTTTTAAACGAAAAACTTAATTTATTGTGTGATCTTATTGTTTGTTTTGTTTTATTGTTAGTTTTTGTTTATTATAATTTTTTTTTTTTTAAACATTTTTCGCCGACGAAACGTTGCGATTTTTCGAATGCGGCCAACTCAATTAATATTTTACAATTATCGATTGCGTTACGTGTATACACGATACAAACCGGCCGATAAACGGACACCATACACCGCGACTAGACGCTCAAGTGTCGTGAAATCGAGTGCGGCCGATAATTAATGCGCGAATACCGTCCGCCTCCACCTATTACCATCAAAGAAGGTAACAACTATGTCGTCGATGACCACGTGTTTTGTCGTAAGTTACGTGCCGCTCGTCGTTAGCGTTACGCTCGTGGCCAACACCGTGTTGGAAGTGGCCAGCCGGGGTGCAGCGGCTACCGCCGTGGCGGCTGCGAGTACGCAGCGTCGTCACGTGCTCGCCGAACTCATGTCGCCCGTTGTCCTAGCGGCCGTCGCGTTATTCTGGACAGTCCTGGGCGTTGCGTTTTACCGTTACGCTGAATGTTGCGCCGCGCTGGTCACAGCTGATAAACAGCAGCAGCAACAACCAACGCCTCCAGTCAAACCGATACAACCACCGCAACCGTCCATCAGGACCACAATTAAACGTAAGCGGCATGTCTTTTAAGCATATATAACTTCACATAGTCGCGTAGCGGCCGGTTTCTAGCAGTGGCTACGCGATCTAGGTTATTAGGTAACCGACGGGTGGCCACAGCCTCCCGTTTCCGGTTATGGCGAACGTCATTTTGTGCCCGTTCTGGTGGGCAACGGGGGTGATTCATCGCTATTCGTTTCATCTCTGCGCTGTATTCATTTCTATGATGTAGTACTGTATGCCGAGAGATCACGTGGAATAAAATGAAATACCCTCTAGCTGCTTGCTAAACCAGTCAAAGGGAGACCAAAGGTTTTTCAATTTAATCTCAAAGAAAATACATACCATTTTGTACTCCTTGAGAATTTTGTACGAATATCGTTAGTCTTCCCCCCCCCTCGTTACTTTATGATAAGTTTGAATGTCATTAGTATTAGAGTTACGTTACCTACAAGAACTAATAAGATAAATGCACCGGTGGCACATTTCCCTTGAAATTAAGAAACCACCATTTGAATTGTTTTTCGAAATAATGATTTGTTTAGGTACACAATAAATTGATTTATATTTATGACTTAAATCTACTAAAAAAAACGAATGCGTTCTATACATTTTGTAATATTACTCTTTCTGACGTTATGCACTACATTATACTGTGATAAAAGTACATTATATCGTATTATTTGTTTATGAATAATGGGATCTATTTTTTGTTCACGCTAGTAACCTGATCTATATTCAATGTCGCCCAATTTATTTATTTACTCGAGATTCAAGTGTTTTGCCATTGCAACTAAAATTATATTATTATATTATTTTCGCGTAGTTTAAGTTTTTGGTTAATTTGAGTACAAACAAAATTAGTTTTGATACTGCGTTAATAGTAACACGTTTGTTCTCGATAATAGTTTCTTTACTAGCTCAAAACAATTGTTTCCAAGGTATCCAAATTTACCGAAGTTGAATTATTGATTTAACTTTTGTATAATGTTACAAAAATGCTATTACATGAATACGTATAATATATCAGGTTAAAAAAAAAAAATTTGATCAAAAGATCAAATTTTCTGTCCTTTTGTTTGTTCTTTTTTGTTAGGACATAATGTATAAAATCAGCCAATTGTTTTTTTGTCTCTTTTTACACTTGAGATCAATTTTAAACTTAAAGTTGAAAAACAATTTAGTTGTTTGTTTCGTCAGCAGGCCAATGGATTATCACCGTGATGAATTTTGTCAGTTGGTTGAATATACAAATTTAGATTTTTGCTACAACTGTTGTCGGTCAAGGTGACGCGGTATTCATATTTCTTTCGTTATATGAACACGTTCGTTATTTGTCAGCAGTGGTTCGATGAGGAGATCTCTGAAGAAACATGATTTTTGTTGCGTTTGGTTGGTTATCCGATTATTGAGATTAGTAGGAGAAAAGGAAATTCTGTAGACATTTTTATCGCGCAGCCAAAACAATAACAGTGCTGACTAATATTAACGTGTCAGCATTTATTACGAGTAGAGCTCAAATGATACGTAATAAATGTAATGTGTAAAACGAAAATTATATTAAATTTTTATTTTTCTAAGGTAATTGATTTGAACATCAGGCGTGGCTCGTTCTCTGTTGTAGGTTAAGTAAATTTGTCGCCGTTAACAAATAAACACCGCAATTAATCCACATCGTTATCGTTAATTGGCAATATTTAATTTTAGATGGCAATACTTCGGGCCGGTCTCTAAGATCTGCCCTTGAATTCGTCCAACGATCGCACTTCGCGTGTTTGTGTGTGAGCGTGTATGTATATAAATCTGCGCGTGTAGAATATCTCAATTTTTCGTGGTATGACCGATTTGGAAGAAGTAGATAGTCCTTGAACCGGCAAACTTATAACTGACCACAACTCAAGTACATAATGTCAAGTAAGGATTGGAAAGTTGGATGGAACGATAAGGATTGTTATCTGTTACAATTTTATGACATCGATTGATTTTTAGGATTGTAAACTTTTTTTTTTTTTCGATAATTGAGCGAATTGTCTTTGAAATTGGAAAATATTAAAGCCATGAGCGATCAATTCTTACTATAAAATTATCGTTGATTTATTTAGCGTAAATAACTCATGCAAAATGTTTTAAAAACATATTTTTAGAGCCCAAAATAATTTGCCATATTTTTTAATGCGCCGTATTGTGTTTGTCGCGATCAGGAAAACAAAAACATTTTAAAAAAAAATGTTATTTTGAACACGGATTAAAAATTTATTATTAATTTTCGTCTCCACACACTTCAAGGACAAATTTTGTAAAAATATAAAATGTACACTAAAAATCGTTATGAATAGGAACCTTCGTTCTAAATAAACATATTGTGTTGTTTGTGTACATTGATCAATTTTTTTAAGCGTAATAAATTTACTCAAGCTTATTCAATGATTAAGCTTTTAGGTAAGTGGGTTATTGTTGTTTGTCGTTGAGTTTTTATCCAAATCTCAATGGTCGTTTTATCAATTGCCTTACCTTCTCTGTCTCTATTAGTACTGCCAATTAAATTTCTAATATAATTTTTTACGTGTAATCGAATTAACAATATCATTAATAGTTGAACGATTAACTATTACTTATAATAACAGAGCAAACAAACGCGCAAAGACAATAAGATATGTTTTAGAACTATTTTTGAACGCTGAAAAAATAGCTTTAAAATGCTATGATTTAAAATTGATTTGATAATCAATATGAATTTTTTTTTAATAACGGTTAGAGCTCACAACGGACTAAGGCAATCATTAAAAGTTATTTATAAGCAACATATAAACAAACATATCCAACAATATTGTCCTTTCTTATGAATACTTAAAGGAAATTATTAGTCTAATGTAACAACCGTGCTTTATTAATATTCACCTGTTAAACAACAAATGATTACATCTTAGAAAAATCCATTCAAGTACCGATTAATTAATGAAATCGATCCATTGGTGTTCAAATAGCTAGTTGTATCTAATAAAATTTTGTACTTATCAGTTTTTACTCATTTTTATGGAAATAAACACTATTTTTTCATCTAAATATCTAGTTACTACTTAAATTTACTAGACTTTATTCAATCCATTTTATAATTACTACTGTTGTACTGAAATTACAGCCTTCAAATTTGAATGAATTATGTTCAGGTTGCGCAAGCGCTGTATGCACAACCTTAATTTTTTTTTACGATTATCGCTTTCAAATAACGAGAATTTAAAATTTTATCGTTTTTGCTATGAAAATAAAACTTTAAAGAATAAGAGGTACTTAAAAAACATTCTAATGGAAAATAACTTTTGAATCCACCCAATGTGCAGTATGGTTATTATTTATTATTTAAGCACCGCGTTAAATAGTGTTTTTATTGTAGGTCACGTTTAAAGGAATAATAGTTAAAAAAATAAAAAATCAATTATAAAAGAATCTAGGTCGTAATGCAAATAGGGGCTTTGTCTCATTACAAACAGAGTAATTATATTTCTTAGGAATGTTTAATTTTTTCGCTCGATTTAGTCTTACAAACGTGCTAATAAGAAGGGGTTGGGTATAAATTGAATTTACTGTAATCCATAATCGTTTTTTTGTTGTACAGTAGCATTCCGGCCACCGTTTATCGTTTTACGACAGTAATAATGTAATGAAACAGCTCTATAATTGCATTACCGGTATTAATTATTGTAATTGTCTTATTTGAAAGGTTAACATTCGAAACGCTTTATGTCTCAAAACGATCAATAATTATCAAGTGCCATTTCAAGATTGTCATTAATTTATGGGCCGCCCAAAAATAATATGATAATTGCCACGGTGCGAGAGTTCAGTTGAGATGGTATTTAATAATTTGCATTTTCGGCCTTGGCTTTTAAAATTCCAAATTCGCGATTAATCGATAATTATGTTACCCGAGATCGAATAGCCAATGAACAATATTCCACGAGAAATGTGTTCAAGCAACAAAACACTTAAAAACCTTTTATGTTTGTCATTTATTCATACGGTCCTTTTTTAGACGTTTGCGAATCAAATATTTTACTCGTATTTTATTTTACAGGTTCAAAAACTAAGCCGCCCAAAGACGACCACATGGACACTGACGATTCTGCAACGTCTAGTCCGCCTAGTAAAGTGTCCAAAAGAGCAATGTCAAAGACGACCAAGCCTTCGCCGCCCCCGTCGCCGGAGAAGTGCAGGAGGTCAGCCGCGTCGGTCAAGACTATGGTGAGCTCGCCGACCAACAGCTTATATGGTAGCAGCGACGACGACGACGACAAGAGCCGTAGTTCGGCTTTCAATAGTGTTAAAGTACAGGCGGTTCAGTCAAAAAGGGCACACGTGCCCAAGGGTATCGTTGTGATGACCGAGATCAAGCTGTCTCCGTCCAAAGGACATGCGATCACCCGCACCGAAATACAATTGTCAGCTCCACTCAAACAGGTGGACAACTCTACGGGAAAGGATAAAAAGTCCGAAAACGGTCAGTATTATTAAAACTCGTTCATTTGTGTCGATTGGTTAGACAATTAAAAAGTAGTGTGCGCGCATAATTATCGTCAATTTTTCCCCATCCGCACAATGTTGTGGTGTCAGTCACAAACATTTTAGGAATTTCGGTAAGATGTACGTTTGTGTGTTAATTAATTTGTGTCGGAATGTCGAATGTGAAAACACTAATAATAGTAATTTGTCCGATTAATACGCCGGTACCAGGACACATTGCCGTTATAACATTTTCGTTTGATTGAAACAACACAAGGTAGACTTGCACCCGCTATACTGTTAATTTTACAGTTACGCAGAAGGTGAATTTCTTCTCGGCCGTCTTCGCATTGGTTCGTAAACTGTTATCAAATAGAATTAACCTGTTTCCGCAACCGTTGCCGCCGAAAATATTGTTCCTAACGGTTTTATTATGATCGCTTTTTTCTAAGCCAAAATTTCACTTGTGTACATCGACAATTAACTGTTTCGGTAATACCATGGCGTTTTTTATTTTTACTCGCCAACTGACGGAGGGAGAACTTAGATTTTTGTCGGATTCCTATTTCCGGTGGTTGCTCGTTTGATATTTACGTTTCTGGCGACACCGCAAACGTGGTCGCGTTTACCGCCTCTTCGTTTGGAGGACACGTGTTCAAGTGTATCTATGGCTACAGTCGTCGACAATATTAAAGGTTATATTTAGTTAGGTATCTCGGTTGTTTGCCATATTCAGCTTTAACAAACCGCAACACTGATGGCTGTAGTAATCGTGTTCAGCAAACCTGTTTCCGTTCCGCCAGTAAGACGGAACCTAGAAAATTAATGTAAGATTTTTATTTATTAAAAGAATAACAAGAGGGCCGTCTTATGGCAGCTGTTAATAATAACCTTGTGTAATTGACCATAATAATTTTTATTTGTCTTTTTGTAAGAATATAAGTTTAATGTCAATCTACCAATATTGTTGTAGTGCGCTCTTGACTTACGTAATCTCCCTTGCACAGAGAAAGTCTAAAATTCTATTGTGTAAACAAAATTAAATACGCGTACGTTTAACCTGAATTAAATATTTTCACAGTACTTATTTTAGACTTCATTCAAGTTAAATGTGTAAGTTTTGTTTTTTGGAAGTCTACACGAACCTACCGGTCGGTTATCGGGAAAGCTCTGTTTTATTATAATAAAAGTTTAGAAAACTAGTTGTTATCGCTGAAATATAAACTTTAATTTTCAACATCATAACAGATATGTTATAAAATTTCATTTTTGGTCTTTTCTGACACGATTTTAATAAATTTTAAGTTTAATTAGTTTTTGCACTACTTCTTGGTTAGAGGGAATTAGTTATGTAATAGTTTTTTTTTAATATATTACATTTATTATCATAAAAAGTGCACCATTGTCTTGTAAATTTTATGCAAAAACGATAATTCTTATATTAAGTACGTGTGACCTTAGTCGTCTATAATACATTTTTTTGTCTTTTCATTATTAAAGTAATTGCCAAACCTATACAAAGCATTGTTGTTTACCAGCGAGAAAAAAAATCAACGTGCAAACTCAATGTATAACTATTAAATTATAAAATTCAAGGTCGACGGATCTATTCGCTTTTAGTCGATACCATCATTTAGAACAATATAAGTACACATAAGTGCGCCTAAGGTCGTCGCTGAGAAAAATGAATTTTCGTTAGTTGGGACTCCATTATTGTTTTTGTTGTATCGGTCCAGTTCGGCGATTTGACAAAGCACTTCTTCTATTCGATATTTTACTTTGACAAAATATGACATGTCTTTAACAATGTCTTAGTCAAAAAAGGGATAAATCACTTGTGTGTGAAAAAAATACAAAAATAAATTTTTTCTTAGACCAATCACTGTGTTATTGAAGTGTATTCTTAACCGCTAATAAGATCAACTACAAGTATCGACTAATAAACGATAATAAGAGTTTCAATTTTTAGATTATTATAAACTTTTCTGGCATACGTTAAGAGGACGGTAGACGTACTTAGTTAGTTTCAGTATCTCAAAACGTTTTCTATTACAGGTATTAAGTGGACAGGTAGTGATCTCGACGACATCGTAACAAAGAAATCGGTTGATATAATAAACTCGCACATCACACATTTATTAGTAGGGTATTACTAACCTACACATGCGCTTTTAAATCTACTAAAGAAAGTCGACTGTCAGTTAAAGACACAAACGTACACACTCATACAAACACACCAGCGCTGAAGCGTATAATAGAGATCAGTGAAAGTAGTATAGTTTGAATGTGTAGTGAACGCAAATTTTTTTATTTCATTTAAATGTATAATGTTTCAACTGTTTTTGTTGTTTTTCGCTACCGTAAATCCTGTCTGAGTGGTAAATAATTTTTTTTCACTTTTTATTCGTCAGACTTCTCCGAAGTGGGGTCATTCTTGTCTTTTTTTTTTTGTTTTTGTTACCCTAAACTAACTGATAGCACTATTTGTATTTAGTTTTTTACTATTCTCAGAAATAATGTTTTACGAACTTTTTGCCTTGTTAATTGCTATGTCGTTATTATAAATATGTTAATCGTGAGTTTTTGCTAACATGCAATTTTTTTAAATCGTTCTCGGCTCTAATTATTGTTATTTTTCATTTCAGATAAGAAAACTTGCAAAAGAATAGAGTATGAGTCGGGTAAAAAACCTAACAAGGAAAACGTGGAGCCGTCATGCATGGACAAGGACGATGACGAGTGTGCTTTGTTGGTGGCAATGGGCGCCAAAAAGAGGAGCAAAAGAACCAGAAAACGCAGGTCCAAGTTCAAGCAGCTGCAAGAAACAACTAACATGATCGACTCGAACAGCGATGGCAGCGGCACGGGCAGTACGACGTCGTCGTCGTCGTCATCGTCCATTGTGATCAAATCGAATACGCACAAGGGAACGGCCATAACCATTCAGACGACCACTTTGACGACTACCACTACGAACGACGTCAACAAGTTCAATGTCACCGACAGTTTTCGTAGCGAACGGTCGAACTTAAACAGCCTATCCGATCTGGACATATGGTTCATGTTGAACAAGTATATGCTGCGATTGAGCGATTTGTACGGATACGGTTTTCCGGTTAATTCAACGATGGCTGGTTATGCAGTGTACTATCGGCCTAACATGATGCGTTCAAAGAAACTCAATCCGGTAGCCAAGGAATTCAGTTTCGAAGCCCGATCGGTTCAGCAGCAAAAGGGTCAGAAAAAGCGCCGGACGTCCGAAGTCGATGTAGTTAGTATTTCGGAACAACGACAGACAAAACAGACAGAAGTACAACAGTTCTCATTCGACGATCTCGTATCTTGCGTCCGGTGCTCATCGTTCTTCTCGGTAACCAACGAACGACGACAGTACTCGCTGACGAGTCGGTGTTTATACCACTACGGAAAACTGAAGATGGCCAACGACTCGTACGACTGCTGCAACGGTGGTCCGACGTCGCACGGCTGTACGGAGGCGCCCTGTCATGTGTGGAACGGGTATGCCGAAGGACACAACGGACCTAAACCCGGGTTTGTGGATACTTACGAGGACCGCACCGGTATCAAAGTCGTGTACGGCATGGACTGCGAGATGTGCTACACACAGTCAGGTTTGGAGGTAACTAAAGTCACATTAGTCGATATTTACGGGTTCGTAGTGTACGACACTCTGGTGAGGCCGGCCAATCCAATAGTCGACTACAATAGTCGGTATAGTGGCATTACGGCCAACGACTTTGCGACCAAACCGTCCAAAAGTTTAGAGCAAGTACAAAAAGACCTATTGCGGTACATAAAACGAGACACTATACTAGTTGGCCACGGACTGGGCAGTGACCTTCTCGTACTGAGAATTGTCCATTCGCGGGTAGTGGACACGTCAGTGCTGTTTCCACATCCGCTAGGCGAGCCGTACAAAATGTCACTGAAATCTCTAGCGGCCAGATTGTTGAAACGGGAAATCCAGCAGGCGTACGGACATGACAGTAAGGAAGATGCCCAAGCAGCCGTTGACCTGGCCCTGTACAAACTCCGAAGAGATTTGGAAGCAGTGTCGTCGGTGGGCCATCGTTCCCACGAAAGTTCTCATAGACATCATCACCATCGTCACCACAACCATGGCAACCATCACCGGCATCACCAAGACAACACCAACGCTAGCGTATGGAATGAAACAGCAATAACAGTGAACGCCGCTTCGGCTTAGGTATCTTCTCCTACCCGCCGCCCCTCCTTTTGTTGTTGTTCCTATTTATGTGTATATATACATTTTTTCCTATTTTAAAATGAAAGATAAGAAAAAAAACATTTTATACGACTTATTTTTCACTCACTTGACATTGTGATAAAATTGATCGGTTTCACTCACTAATAATGTGCTTGTGCGTGGACCAACCGATCTGATGACTGAATTATTTGTCAACCCTCCCAGCTTTTTGTACTAAATTAATATATTGTACAAAATTAATGGTAAATGATGTTGTTGTTTATTTATTTTTTTTTACTGCTATCTCTTTTATATGACTTCCTTTAGAAACTTGCTTCGTACACCTACTGTTGGTTAAACACAATCTAGTTGCTGAAGCCTAGCAACGGGGACAGCTTCAGAGGGAGCAAAAACTATCCGCTGTTATGTATTGTCTTCTTATAAGGCCATTGAATACATTTGTGTAACCTTATACAAAAATATAAAATTTTATACCTCCGGATAGTGTCGTGTACATATGGCGTAGTTGTTTTGCATGATATTAGATACGACATCCTTTATTTGTCTCTTACACCCCTTTAAAAGTGAACAAAACGTCTGATTTGTAGAAAAGTGTATCGGATGTCAAGCCTCGAGAACAAAGTAAAACTCGAATTGCTTTCACTCATGCCTGTCAAGTAATGTAGAGGTGTGACAATACAAGATAAATATATTATACAAAATATGTATATCACCAGGTAAAACCGATAGAATGAAAGTTGCACATTGACGTATGTGTGCTAGATTGTACAGTCTGTTGAGATATAATAATCATATTGATAAGTATGTGTTGGTTGAACGTGTCGTCGGCTCCCTAGTGAATTATAAATAAAAGTCTGTAAACACTGTCGACAATCCCTGGCAAAGGTCCCGGCAAGCCGTTTGGCATTGGCCTATTGGCTAGAGAAATTATTCGATCGCCTATACAGTTGATTCACACGCAACTTTTTTTCTTTTTATTTATTTACATTTTTTTCTACATCAACCGGTACTCGTATTGTAAACACTTGACCGCTTGATCTTCATCGGATCATTCAACTTTCGCCCGTTATCTGTGCACTCTTAGCTTAAGCAATTGCTAATTAAATTTACGATGTTCTAAAAAGAGAAAACGAACAGAAAAAAAAATTTAATTATCAAAAAATAAAAGAAACAAAAACAAGCAATCCACTTAATAATTATTTCATAACGTCTTATCTGATAGCCATATAGTCGAGTACAAATTAATTATTAATGATTATCTGTGTCTAAATGTACACGCTGATCGAATGTAAAATCTGCTCATAAATCGCATGTGGACGGAAAATTCGTTGATCGCGTCATATTTTTTTATTGTGTAGCGAAATATTAATAGTCAACAGTTGTACGCAAACACACATTTCGGATAGGCTCTTTGAGTTAAAAATAATCTTCCGTCAATGATGAACGGCCCATAGCATTTTGTTTAATGCCTTCCGCTTTACAAACTATAAGTCATCACAAAAAACATATTAATGGGTGAAAATAAAATTAAAAATAACTCATCGAGGTTAGACCAAAGATGTGTAAAATTTCAATGCAAACGATTAAAAAATAAAGTCATTTAAAATTATAAAAATATATCCTGAACCAGAATAATATGATGTCTCCGATACAATCAATGAAAGTTTTAACGATGAAAATGATACCGATAATTTTTTAATCCAAATGTTGTCCATCCGTAACGTAATGTTTGAATGTTTTAAAAGATGTGAAACTAAACTCTCGGTTTTTTACTGCACAATTGACAGGATGGATGATCTTTACAAATCTTTACGTAGAAAAGCGCTATAGTGTTACGGTAGTAAGCTTACAGTAACTGCGATTTGACGTTTTCAACGCTTAAGTACGGTTGGATAATTCTTATTGTTATCATTTCCTTTTACATCGCAATTCCCATTAAACACATCTCGTTTTAATTTTAAGGTAATATTGCTCGACGTTCAACTACACAGTTAATTTTAAAACGCCAATCAAAAGCGAGATAGGTTAAAATGAGATCTGGCGCGGTAAATTAATAAAGGATTTGTTGAAAAGTTTTTTATTTCTTATTCCAGCGATGATATCAACAGGAAGTTGGTGTAGTCTAATTGTAATTTAAACATTCATAGTTCTATAATATAACTTAGTTAAAGAGTTTATAAGATTTGAGTTATTGCCATAAGAATATGTTTGTCTATCAGGAAACATCAAACAGCATGCTGACATACCAGCAGTAATAAACGTTGCGTTATTCTTTAGCCTTAACTACACATAGTATCTACCCATTGGATCGAAGACAAAATCTAAAAAGTAGTCTGTGTTACATCACGTTGCATTTGTATAGATTTAAAAAACAAATTATGACTATTGTCAATAATTATTAAAAAAAATATATTACTAACTTGGGTATCGGTAGGTAAATCTTGAAGTATTTCAAAATTAAAAAAGGAATAAAATTATTCTATGTTAACTTTAGTTTTGGTAAAGTTTTTTTAAAAAATCGCTATGGGATTTCATGCGTGACTAAGATTATTGTTTAAATTCAATCGTGCTAATTGACTAATCAAATCGCTATTAATGTTAATTCTTTAGATAATAACACAAAACGTTCATTATCAGATTATACCACTCGCTTTGAGTTGGATAAAATAATGTAAGAAATTGTGGATATTTATGAATTTAACTTGAATGTTTACAATAAAATTCAAATATTTTATCAGCAAATTATGTGAAAAAATAAAATATTGTTCTAAGCATAATTACTACTGTAAATGCATTTATCGAGAATATCTGGTAGTTTAATTATATTATAACTATCTAAATAAACTCCTCTGTATATGTTTTGGATACGTTGCAACGAACTAGTATAATTTTGTCTAGTTTTAATAATATAATACTTTTAGTGTTATTGACCCTCGTAGAATGTATGTGTGCTTGACGTATGTGATGTATTCATAAATAAAATAAAAATATAAATCATTAGAACTGAATTTTCTGCTATCAAAACAGACATTTTTTATTATTCCAACGAAGAAATTTATAAGATACTTTCATTGTTAATTTTAAAATAATTCAGATGTGCATTTGAGAAATTATCGTTCGTACTTAAACGGAATGTGAAATTGTCTTCTAATGGACTTTTTGTTGTTTTTTAATTTTTTTTAGTGTATTTATTTTCGTTTTCTAACATATTCTTCGGTAAAGCGTTACAATATAAAATATTGCAAAATTTAACTAGCAAGATTTTTTGAACAACTTAACAGTTTAAAAATAAATCATAATACTCATTATTTGTGAAAACTAATATTATTAATCACGTGGTCCCTAGATTTAGTAACTATAATCCATGTTTATAAACTAATTTTTTAAATTAAAATTTAATCATGATTTTTTTATGAATTTATTAAGTGTAATGAGTGTTATGTAAGCTACAACAAAAAAAATTAACACGAAGAACGATCTATTAGTTGATTAATACCAACTACCATATACGGATATTTGCATTATAAAGTTTTTTACAAATATAGTGTTCACTGAAAAGTAATATTTATAGACTATTATTCACAGTTTTGTTTCAAATTGTAAGCTATTTCATTGATCTCAACATTCAAACATCTGTAAAAATAACAATATCGAATACAAAAGTCAACAGATTTTTTATACAAAGATTAAAAACAAAAAATAGATTTGTCTGGTATCAGGCTACAAAAATAGCCTGTACAAGGAATTACAAGACCTGATACTAAATTTTTACGAGTCCTTACTATTTTTTTCTTATAACTAGAATAGTAGTTTAATAAAAAACAGCTCCACACTTCACACCATTTTTTTTGCTTTTGAATCTACTAAAATTTAAGTATTACTATTTATTCCGGGGGCGGGTTAATCAAAGTAAATTATTTTTATATTTTAAAGTTTCAAAAACCCTTTTTAAAAAATAATTAAGAATACGCCCCTTAACATCGTTTTACATTTATTTGATTACCAATTCTTAAATATTTATTATTTCGTAAGACAACGATCACTTAATTGTTTTTTTAATTAAGTTTATCTTACTGTTCCCATTCTAGTAGGCGACGAACTAGTGTGTTACTATTTCTTATCTTCAACGTTTACAAAAATGATTTCTAAATTTAAATGAGTTCCTAATCCAAAAAAATAAAATCTTAAATTATTTTTTTTGATAACTGTTTATTTTCATATGAATATCAATACATTAATTAAATTTAAAATCGATATGAAAAGTTTAATAATAAAATAACAAAAAAGAAATTTGTATACCTACTAGATGAAAAATCTTTTTTAAGTGACATCCGCAGTCAACAGTCTTAAAACCAATTGCAGAGTGTAAAAAACGTTATAATTATAATAACGTTTAAAATCAAAAATGTTGTCAGTACATAATCAAAAAACCAAAAATATGTGCTCTCAATAAACGTACAATATTGTTAAACATAATATAACTTATTGTGACTTGTACTATTAAGGAGACGTAAACTTATAATAATACCAAAGAAATTATTAATGATAATATTTATTAAACTAATGTTTTAATCGATAAGTCAAAATATAAGCTTGAATATGATATTTTAGCAATTCGATTTCATTAAAATCAAAAAAAGTAACATTTAACTTAAATGTGTACTCCCACCACTTCTCTGTCGGTCCAAAAAACAAAGGTAATGCCGTAGTAGGATCATAAGTAATATTTCTTATGATGTAGTCTCCCTAAAACGCAAATATAGAAATTATTCTGTAGTGTGGTCAAATTGAAAAAATATTTTTGATAACATAAACATTATTTATATTTTCAAACGTTATTGCCCTTATGGATCCGGTGCACTAATTTCAAAACTAATTTAAAAGAAATGCATTAGATCAAATTTATTTTTCAATATCAATTAAGTACTTAATTTATAGTAATCAACTATTATGGAGTAAATGATAATTAAAATCATTTATATTATTTATAGCGATGTCCATAGAAGAGTTTTCGACAAAAAATGGAACAACATTTTAATTAATAAATAAAAATTACAGGAGAAATATTTAAAAAATGTTATTCCTTAAAGCTAAAGCAAAATGTTGTATTAGTTTTTCTAATAAAAATGTCCTTATATGAAATTATTTATTTTTGTGGATATTAAATCAATTAATTCATGGGGTTAACACAATTCTTGAACAATTATGATTAGTGTCATTTATCAAAGATATGAAATTGTAGATATTTAAACTATTAAAATTACATATTATTAAATTTAATTTTATAGGTAAAGAGATAATTTTAAATTATAATTTAAGATTTTTCATAAATTTAGATATATTATTTCTTTAAATTACTTGAGTGATTACCTGAAATGGACATTTTATTTCACGATTACGATAGCCAATTTGTATCAAAGATAAGCCATATTCGACTTTATCACATATGTTTGTAATTTCCATAACTTTATGTATTTTACAATCCATGTAATATTCTTTGCATTTTATCAACTCAATATAGCCCTTAATTTCAATAAAAATCAATTATGATGAAAACATAATTATCATTAAAAAAAAATGTGCTCAATTGGTTTTTGTGTTACAACACGCAATTAATTACAAATTGTACATAAAAGAGTTATTAAAAAATTGAACATCTGGCCCAATATAAAAAATGTAAATGGCCAACCATGTAACATTCAGAAAAATTTAGAGGTAGGATAGGGATGAAAATGTTTACGGTGCACGTTAGTGATATAATTTTAAAAATTATAATTTAATTAAAAAAAATTAAATTTTTTCTTACGTTTAACCCTCTCTCCCGCGAAAAATTTTGAGTACATAACATTAACGAATGAACATATAACATTGCATACTGAAATATTTACGTTTTTTTAAAATGTCTGATTGGACTTACTCGGTATGGTATTACTTTCAAATATGTTGTACAATTTAAGTTAATGAACTGTTTATCATAATATTGAACGTACTCAGCATAGGAATTTCCAATAGATTTGTTGGATGTTACACTTTGTAACTTTGTCAGTCGGTATGAGTGTTGAATGGGTCGTAACACAGAAAACAACCCCTAATTAAAATGAAAAAAATCAATACAATTATTTTAGTTATACAAATTTTAATAGTAAAAATACCGCAGAAAAAGCCAATGCGAAAAAAAAATTTAAAACGTTAAGCAATTTTATAAAAATCATTGTAACCATGAAACCGATATACTCTAACACTGGATGAAAATAAACATGTAAAATATTTATTTTTTTATTAAAACTCTGTTTGTAAAAAAAATATTTTTCCCAATAATCATATCTATATTTTAAATCTTTCCGTTAAAAATAACACGGAAATAAACATTATATGTATTACATTTTTAAATTTAACTGTGAAATAATAATAAATATTTTTTCAATAAAGATAGTTATTCTAGAATAAAAATAATTTTATCATGTGATGTTGCCACTGTATATGTTGCCTCAAGTCTACTCAACTTGTAACCCACTTGTTTATACTATTTTCCAATTATAATAATAGTGGGAAAGTTTCAATGTATTAAATGTTTAATAGTTTTAACTCGACACTACCTCATGTTTTTATGGAAATAAATAAGCATAAAAAAACGGTAGCACAGTTGGGCCGTGGCACATGACGTTGTATATGACAATGATAAAAACCATTGTCATAAGAAACGCTTCTATGCAAATCTGTAGATAATGTTAAATATTAAGAAATTGGTGGACTATTCCAAAAGTAACATCATCTCTTTTTCCTTTGATTATATCCTAATTAGTAGACTTTAATATATAAGTATAATATTTTATATTTACTGTTAAATACCTATTATTTTAATTAAATTTATTATGAAATTAATATTTGATAATTTAATATTGTAATTATTACGGAGAAACTATAAAAAAAATTAAAGTAGTTGTTATTTCTATGATAAACATGTATAAAAACTAAAGGGCTTGAAGCAATATTTTTCAAAAAAAATAAAAGTTGTATGTTACATATGAATAAATTTACTGATCTACAAGGAATTTTCATCTAAGACCAAAATGTACTTTTCTAAATTCATTTTCACGCCTATTTCAAATATACAATTAGATTTTTTCAAGTAGTTAAAAAAGTAAACTTTTCATGCAAAAGTTTCTGTTTTGAATCCTCCTCTATGGGTAGTTAGAAGGTCAAGTTTTCAAAAATTTATATCAGAAGAAAGGGAAATACCTAAGGTATTTATATAAAAACAAAATTTTAGATTCGTTCATTTTTCAAAAAGTTATAACTGTTTTGAGAAAAAAAAGTTTTAAAAATTTCAACATATATCGTTTTTAGAAATCGTATTATTTTTGGGGATTTTCCCCATTTAAAAGGAACGAGGGAATTTTTCCAATTTTAAAGTGCAATGTCTTCAAATCGATACGATTTGTGATTTTATTGTTAAAAGAAAATGATGCCGTAAGAACTGAGAAAAAATGACAACAAGCACAAAAAAAATTAACGCATCTTGATAAAATTAATACCTTCTCAGATTCACATCAAAACTAATATTAAAATTAAGACCTTCATAGTGTAAGAACATTTATTACTATGTTCTTACCACTTATATTACACAGGTTTTATTTCCATTTACTTAATTCGTAATATATATTAATTAACATAGAGGGAGATGCTGATTTGACAATTCTACTCGTCTGTAGCCCGGAGCTACTGACATCGAACCAACAAAGGACAATTGTGTTTGAGTGGCCGTTATAGACATAGTTTTCAATACTATTACTTTCGTCTTATTTATATTATTTATAACTTAACTTGTTTTATTCAACGACCTGTCTATCGCCAATTGTCATCATAGCCAACCAACTCCGTCTCACTTGGATATACCTACTAACCAATTGTAGTAGGATTCAGGTCAGTATTGTACATTACATATAACTTATATTTACTGAACATCTAAAATATACATTTACTTTGTCGCTGACATAAAACAATTGTCTAATTTTATTTAATAATCTATCCTCTATAACTAAGTTACACGATTGCCTGTGTCTCCTTCAGGTAATTAAAACTCATTTAAGGACATAGGGACGATATTTGGGCAAACGTCGGGTAGCTTTCAATTCTTGGTTTTGACCAAGATCACTATTAATCTAGTCTCTAACAATAGCTTCGCACTGAAGCTAAAATTTAATATATACATTCTGCATTCTATATATTCTAAAAATGCCAGTCACTAATGACTTGAAAATTCGATTGTGGGGTGTCATACATCCTATTAAATTGTCACTTAAAAAAATGTCTGAAAGAAAATGAGATTTTCGTTGGAAATTAGTTCTAGACTTGTACTACAAATAACGGTCAATATTTATATTTTTATTAATTAGTATACAAAGAGGAAAAACAAGCACTATAATAAAAAACTACCAAACTTATATTTTTAAAAGTTTTTAACATGAACTTTTATTTTTTTTTTAAGTTGTTGAAATTTTATTTATTGATTACAAAACTACAGCTATTTATGCAAAAAAAATCTGTGATCAAAGTTTACCGTTCATTTACAAGTTTATATGGTACTTTGATATTTGACGTTTAAAAACTTTTAGTTAACGCTAACAAACATAAATAACAACACATTTATTTATTGTCTTAAGTTTTACTTGAAGTTTACTTGAGTTGTCGTTATTACATAACTCCTTCCGTCGGAAAATTTACATATTCATATGCTGCAATAGTTAATAAAACATGATTATTTTATTAATTGAATTAAGATTTATAAGCTAATATTGTTATATTAACAGGTGATTATATTAATTTATCTAAAATTCTGAATGAAATATTTTAATTTTTCAAAAAAATAGAAACACAGCACAGTGGGGTTGCCATACAGTTTGGACAAATATAGACATTATCTGACAGTAATTGACTTCACTATTATAAAAACGCTTTAATACAAATCTCTTAAATTTCATAATAATTTGTGTAATTGTAATTTAAATGTTTTAAAATTTTACTCAAATATTAAATGCTTGTTAAATTACACAGGACAAAAACTATTTTCTTGTTTAAAATTTGTATATAATTTCTTTAAGGAATTTTGATGCTAATTACGAATCTGGATTCAGATATTTACTATCACTTTTTGTTTTAAATATAAATACTAATTAGTATTATTATTCGATGATTACATAATAAAATCGTCATAAAAAATATGATTGAATTGAAGAAGAATTGTGCATAGATTGGGACTATTCCATCAAGTTAAATCGATTTTTTGGATCTTTATAGTTGAGACATTTTTACAAAAAAAAAAAAACTGAACATTCAAGTTTAACTTTTTTTTGGTTTAATTTATTATAATGAAATTTAAAACGTTAAATAGATAATATTTTAAAAATTAAAAAAATAGTAACTTTGTATATTTTGAGTAAATACAAAAAAATTTTACTAATAATACAACAAATAACGGATAATCTCGAAAATTTACAACAAATATTAGTTATTTATAACTCTCCTATAATTGTTATATTTTGATGTAATTAAACTAATGATATAATACAATCTTATATATTTTTAATTATAAATATGACGTCCAATTATATTTTTACGTATGAAAATTGTATAACTAATTATTTGTATAATTATAAAGAAATGGAGAGGCGCTATCAAGGACACTCATATACGGCAATAATGGCAGATTTAGTTATTAAATGTTATAACGTGATCAGAAATAAAGTATTTTTAAAAGAAAATCAAATAAACACAGATTTTTATGAAAAGAAAATGTTGATTTTTCGGTATTTATGTAAGAATTGGTATCCTTTCACTTTTTATTTACTCTAAAAGCATAAAGTTAATATTTTTTAATCTTTATATAATTTAAACCAAAAAAAAGAGCATATGCGAAAATTTATTTTTTTTTTTTAATTTACACTCAAACTCAACTTTAAAGATCCAAAATATCGGTTAAACTTTATGGAAATGTTTCAAATTATGTACAATTTTTATTGAACATCATGAAATATTTTTAGGAAAATTAAAAAAAACAAATTATACTTTTTTATAATAATTTTTAATCAAAATAGATGTAATAGAAAAAAATCGGAATGGTGTCGAAATTACTTAAGAAATTTCATAAACAATAAAATATTTTTTGTTGTTTTTTGTGTTCAAATATTTATTTGAAAATAAAGTACTTTTTTGGAAAAATTGAGACAACAATGAGATTATTATTATTTTTTTATTGTAATTGTAATTGTAAATTTTATTGTATTAATGTTTCAATAACATTAATTTGGTATACGTTTTTATAAGACAGATGATCCGGAATATTTTCAAACTTAAGGTTTTATAAAATGCATATTAAAAGAAATTTTACAGTTATTAAAAAAAATTATAGTATATTTTGTTAAAATTTCATTTTAATCAGTAATTAAAAAAAGTTGCAACATTTTTAAAATTCAGCTATTTTTAAATTACATTTTTATGGTATAATAATTTTGAGATTGTAAATTAAATTTCCAAAATTGAGACGTATTTAAAATTTTCGGCAATGTTAGTTTCAACTAAATTAAAAATAGGTTCATTTAAAAAGTTCGTTTAAAAATATATTAATTAATTTAAATATATTGTTGTAAATTTTAACTAGCTATAAATGGCAATATACTTAAGTATATAATATATATAATATATATATGTCCACTACTTGATTTAATAATATGAATATATATTTAGTAAATCAGCAGAAAACCTAAGTTTATGAACTAGAATTAATTTTGTTTATCTCTTCACCCTATAAAAATCAATAATAATTATGTTTGACTCTTGAAAATCCTTACTCTTAATTTTTTAAAGCACATTGGTCATATTTTTAGAAAAAAAAACATTTTTATGCAACCATTAAAGATTTAAAGTAACTTTTTTTTATATAATACAAACAACGTGAGTTATGTTTTCTTATTGATAAAATAAAAATAAAACCTCGTTTCTAAAAAAATTTTACTGATAGATTAGACACTTTATTAAAGTACACAGAGCTAATGATTTTTATAATTTCATTTTAACTGACTAGATTATAAGAGATAATTTAGGCTGAAACATCTTATTAGATATCTCCAAAATTTGTTTAAGTGAACATTTCCTTAAATGCAATCTGCTACAATTAAATGAGATGCATAATTTATTTGATGTTGAGATTATATCTCAACATTTGTTTTTGCCTGAATTGCTTTGTTTTAGCAAGTTAAATAGTATTTACTATCCTCAACATTTGTTAATAATAAACAAAAGTTATTTAATTACTTTATTGATACTATTATAATAATTTTTTGACGAAAAAAATATTGAAAAGATTTTTTGGTAATTTTAACATAATAAAACTAGACACTAAGAGAAAACTATATTGTGTAAAAATAAAAATCATCAAAGACCATTTTAATTGAATCAAATACATTATACCTTAAGGGTGGTGCTCTGTATAGATTAATGAAACAGAAACAAATATGTTATATGATTCAAATAGTAATCTTACACTGTCTTGACTAGTAAATGTCTTCATGATAATATAATATAATATTTGTAAACTTAATACGTCTTAATTTTGAAAATTAAATTTACAAACATTTTTGTATCATCGAAACTCTATGGATTTTAAATAAATACTAGTAACATCTATGTACGTTTTATAAAAAATGGTCATATTAATTTCTTTACTAAATTATACTTGTTGATATATATTGTTTATTCAGCATTAAATAATGTGTTCGTTTATCTATTTACCCTTTAAAATATTCATAACCGTACCTATTTTTTATTCTTTATTTTCTGATAAATGTTTAAAGTTTATCCCTAATAATTTTATTTGTGAATGGTATAAATGACCATTAACCTTTCTTTAATCGAATTATCAAAAGCTAAAAAGATAAATTTAGAAATGACCAATTTTTTACATGTTAGAAAATTTAGGGCTATTTTACAATATATCAAATATAACAAAAACAAGTTAAAAAGAATAACCTCGTCTCTAAGGAATATTCTTGAAAAGATTAGTACGGACATTTTACAACGCTCTTTATGTATTAATTATTACATTTACTTTTATTGTTTTTATATTTAAGGTTAACTATTTGCCAATGATTAAGATGTTTAAATATTTTTATTTGACATAGTAATTATTAATATTTGTAGTATAATGTATAATGCAATTTGAAATCACGGAAAAAGATAGTAATTAAAATTTATATTTTATAATTAAAAATAGAGGAAGTTTTTGTGTGAATAGATTTTTTAATCCTCACCTTCAGATTAAAATTGAATGTATGTGACTAAATTATGGTAATTAAATAAATTATAAAGTTTTCGCTTTTTTTAAATCTATGAATCGCTATAGATTCTATTTATAAACAAAAATTTATTGTATGCATTGGTGATAATTATAATTTAAAAGTTCATTGTTAGGTTTATGATAATAGTATTTAACTTAAATACATGGAGAAGTTAAAGTCTAAATACATTATACCTAACTAATATTGCATAGCAACGGTAAGCATATTCAATATCATATTTCTCCATGGAAACTGTTCAATTAGTTTTTTTTCAATTTTTTCAAGCTGATTTTGTAAATTTTGATTGAACAAATCGTAAAAAATCAACTAACATAATGGAAGACGAAGATTTTGATGAATCCATGCGAAAAGTTAATCTAATCGGTAAATATTTTTTTAGTTTATCCGTTTAAATGCTAAAAATATTTCAACATTTAATTTAAATATATATAATAGGTGGTATTGTTAAAGACATAGCCTCTAAAGACGATTGTAAATCTCGTTTGGGAATGATCCGTGCTGAAGAGCTGCTAGGGAACTATGATAAAACGTGGGATGAAAGTTCATTGAAAACCGTTCAAAACGGTACAAAAATTAATCTTAAAGCTTTTGAAGATTTAAATACGCATAATGAGAAAGTCCCAACAGACGCAGGTTTAGTACAGTAATTTTGATAATTCCGTTGAGTGATTACTTTGTGAACGCGTATTTATTTTTCATTACGAATAAAATACAACTTTTCGTAATTTACGTTATTAAATAAACCTATTGAATATAGAAACTCTTGTTTTATAACATTTCTAATGCGTTTGCTAAGTGTAAAGATTGTAGTATTCATTTCAGATGTTAATTAATTAAACAGAAAATGAGGTTTCACTAAAAGTGTTAAGCATAGAACAAGGAAAGAATAAGATAATATGTATAAATATTTCCCTTCCAAATAGTTAAACTGTGAAATATTTCCAAAGAATCAATTATTTTAGTTACATGGAACTGAACGTATTGTTTTCTGATTTCTATTCATCACCACATGCTATGTTATCACAATTCATTATTTTTATTGTTATTGTAATCATAGCGAAGCAAGAACTTGTACTGTTCAGTATTTATATGGTGTCTGATTAGATTACCTAATTGTAGATGATATCATTAATTACACTAAAAAATGCCTATGTTCAGCAATTATTAATAAAACAAAAAATTGCTCTATAGCTTCAAACAAATAGTAGTTAAAAAGTTTAATGTAATTATATGCCTACTGTACTGGAATTTATAATTGTTACACAATATTGAACTTTACATTTAAACAAACACAATTATATTACATCTATATTATTTAAATTTAATACACATTATGTGTTGCAATGGCTTAAATTATATTATAATTTCGATAGTATATATTTAACGGTGACATCCAAATTTATACTGAATAATAGATTATACAGCCCTTATTGATGTTTATTAAAAATTTAGATCAGAAAAACATTTTATATTATTTTTGATTTTTGTTGTAATGTACACAATTTAACTTGAAACATTCGATGATACAGATTTTATTTAAACATTTTATTTAGCTAAAATTTATAAATTATAAGCTACTACAGCTTAAATTTTAGAAATGATAAAAAAATAAATATTTATTTTTTTGCTTGTTTAAAATTGGACCTTTGAAATATAGTCAATGGATGTCAAAGCAGTTCAGTATTAATTAAAATAAATTTTTATTTCAAATAATTTGATGTTAACAACTTGTTAAAAAATGTATTACCTTTTTTGATACTTTGATATAATAAGACTACTTATAATTGATTCTTAAATGAATAAAAACAAATCCTTTGTTATATTTAAATTTAAAAAATTTAAATAATTATAATAGTAATTGATGAATATTTTTTACGAAAAATCTTCTCTTTACGGGCAATATTTGTTTTTTTTTAGCTGGTTTTATGGCATACGTGGAAAGAGATGCAAAACAGAGAGCTGATGCTAAAAAAAAAGAAATTAAACAATCAGACTATTTTAAGACCATGGGTAACCACGAGTATAGGAATAAAAATTTCGAAAAAGCTTTAATTTATTATAATCAGGTAAACGGTATCAGCAATCTAATAAAATGTAAATGAGAAAATGAGATATAAAAAATATCATTTAATGAAATGAAAGTTTTTGTACACTTTCTAAAAAATAATATTCCTATGGCATATTTAAATTATATAATACAAGTTTAGTGAATATTTTGTGTTTGAGTTTTAACTAATACTCTAATAACTATAAAGTAATAGTAAAATATTTACAATCATTTTAATATTTATTCTCCACAAAAACCTAACTAAGAAAAAGTTCCAACCCCCTGCCTATCAAAATAGTAATGTTTATATTATATACAAATTTGATTTCTCTTTAGTCCATAAACTTCAACCCTACTTTAATGAGCAACTACTTTTATAAATAATAAATTACTCTTTTATTCGTATTGCATAACACTTAACCAGTTTTGGAATGAGATATAAAATAGATTATTCCACAACTTTTTAATAAATCCCGTGAAAGGGACAACCTTAAACCTCTTTTGTTTTTTTTTTTGAGATTTTTTTTTCCATCTACTATCATTCAAAAAAGTACTGAGTTGATACTTTGTCAGAAATCGGCTAAGTGTTAAGCAATATGGACAAGGAGCAAGTTTGCTAATAAAAGTAGGATTGAAATTTATAAGCTAAAGAAAAAACGGAGGATTAATGGGGATTAGAAAAAATGGGTGTATTATTCGTTAAAAGATACACCAGCATTTCTAGAACTTAGCCTGGCGTACTGCCGTGCGCTCAGATAAAGGGATATAATTAGAATTTACAAATCAAACTCCAAAACTCAAGAGTTCATTTTTAATACTAATTTATTTTTCACTTCATTTACTGAAATTTCAGATAACATGCCGTTTGATTTTTTAGGCGATTGATGTTCGCAAAGACAGTTGTGTACTGTATACCAATAGAGCATTGACAAAGATCAACTTGGGTTTGTTAGACGAAGCTGTTGCCGATTGTGATAAGGCGTTGCGCATCAATGAACGGTCGCTGAACGCATTGCTGTATAAAGCGGAAGCTTTAAACGGGTTGGGTGACATGGCGGTGGCAAAGCAAGTATTAGCTGACGCCCTGAACACTTATCCAGACAAGACACAACGCATACAAGGTTAGTGGTATAAAATACAATAATCCGTAGTACACGATTCACGTTTATTTGTGTTAAAGTAATTAATTAAACACATGCTATTTATTAAATTAATTAAAATTAATAATTACATCTTATCCTACGCATAAAATATACATTAATAATTAGTTGTAGTTTTGAAAACGATCGATTTTTAACAAAAATAACAAAAAACACGAAAAACAAATGCTAAAGGGGAGAAAGGTAAAATTATGGTGAACGTGTACAATTTTTGTATGACTGTAATTTTTTCGTAAAGACAAGCTAAATAATTTTAAGATGTTAGATTACATTAATAGATTCAAATCAAATTTATTTGTCACTCATGTCTACTGATAGATTTTAACGATTTTTTTTGTCTGAGTGTCATTTTAAATTGTTAAAAATTAATCAGATACTATAACGGTTAGAAGATTTTCAACAGTTAAAAAGTATAAATGCATTAAAATCATTCACGTTAAATTAATATATTATTGAAAACAATAATAAACACAACAAATTACTTAAAAATTTTCTCAAAAGTACTTAATAATGTTTTATGATCATCTATTCATTAAATTAGTCGTCAAATATTGATTATATTTATTTTAATCTGATTTGAGTTTCTTAATTTTGTTTATAAATACACAATCAAAAAAAAAAAAATTATTTTTTTAGATTTAGATAAATTAAAATTTTTTTTTTAATATCAATTTTCAAAGCAAAACAATATAGATTCCACCAGTGAACTATATTTCTTTTTAAATTTAATTTTATTAAGGATATTTATTCAAAAGTTAGAACTAATTAAGTTATATTATATATTTTAAATTTTATTACATAAATAAAAAATAATATACAGGGTGATTTTTTTATCATAATCCACTCAAATACTTACAGAATAAATATAATTAAAACATTTTTTATTTTGGTTATCTTTAGTCAGACATTATTCTTGAATTATTAACTATGTAATACTTTTTAAGTTCATCCCTTATGCCTTGTAAGGGTTTAAACTTTGTTTTTTTAAATGGGAACTCATATTTTGAATTAAATAAAATGTTTGAGTTTTTAATTTAATATTAAATGGCATTTGAATTATTAATATAACTTTATTTGTTTATTAGATATAAACATTTAAAGTTTCAAATCTTTGATTTAATATACATAGTACACAAGGTATTACAAATACAGGTAGCTAATTAGTTTTTTATAAGGGATAAATTTAAAAAGTATTACATAGTTAATAATTCAAGAATAATATCTAACTAAAGATAACCAAAAAAAAAAAATGTTTAAATTATATTTATTCTATAGTAATTGAGTGGGTTATGATAAAAAAATCACTCTGTATAATAAATTTTATGGATAAAATTTTTTTTTTTTAATTTCTTTAATGTTGCTCTTAAACTAAACAATATAAGATCTACCAACAAATATCCAAATTTAAAATTTATCTTAATTTGTTTTAGATTACCGAAAGAAGTTGAATTTATGAGAGATTTTCTACTTGTCATGCTTCATTTTCAGTTATTTTTGAATAAGAAAAATAGAAATGACTATTAATATTTTAAATTATATATTATCAAATAAATAAGTCAACGTTTATTTATTTCGAAAAAATTATCTTCTAACAATAATTTATAAAAATAAAACAGAAAAAATACTTTAAAAATTATTAATGTATTTTTTCTACTAATTTTAATAAAATAATCTCACTCACGGGCGGCCAATGGGGACAAAGAGAGCAGTTGTCCCCTTTACTTTTATCCTGATTAATTTTTATAATCGTTATGTATTATTAAAAATTATGAAAAATTAAATTTTTATAATTAAAAAATAAAAAAAAATAAATTTTTTAAAATTGTTTTATGAATGCCAATGATTAAGAGCATTATTTTAATGAAATTCGTGTTTGGTTTTTATTGTTTAATGTGACTGCAAGTGTCTATTAAAATAACATTTTTAAGGATGCTAATTATATTTGTTCTCTGTAGTAAAAAACACTATACATGTATATACATAATAGCATATTAAAANTTCTCTGTAGTAAAAAACACTATACATGTATATACATAATAGCATATTAAAATTTTTATTTTTATTTGGTGAGTTAATTCATTAATTACGAGGGATAAGGTACTATTTGTTGCACATCCAAAGAAGTGCGGTCAGTTGGCTGAGCCTCGGTTTCTCCCTTCAACGCTGGATCGGTCAACCGGATAGTAAACATACAATAAAAAAATATTACCTACCATGAACAATTTTTGCAAATATTCTTGATCTGACCCATATGAAATAAAAATCTAATTATATCATAAAAAAAAATAACTAAATTTATTGATAAATAAAACTTATAAAAAATAAAAATTAAATATTTGACAAATGTACATCGATTTTATAGATTATTTTATGACTAAAAATGAAGTACATTGGCGTTAACTAAATAGAGATTCAATATCTCTTATATTGAATTAAATAAATATTAGTTACAATAAATAAGAATTGTAAAGAAAATTACAATTCTCTTTATACATTCACTGGTCATACTGTTGCTAAATGTTAATTAATATTTAGCAAAATAAAAGTTTAAAGTTTTATTTTTGTTTAAAAATATATCATTATTTTTTCAATTAAAAAAAAATTTCTTTTTACAACTTCGACATAAACAGAAATACTGCTGAATTACTTTTTTGCAAACATAAAATTGTTAAACTTTTTAAGTTTTATACAACAAAGTATAATTTAAAACTATGTAGATTCTATGACGAAAATTGATCTAAAAATTCTATTTTTATATTAGTTAGAAGATTTAATCTCAAAAATATTTTACGACAATGATTATGATTATTTTTAATATAATTTTGGATTTGCAACATATAATTCTAAAATAATCTCTATTAAAAAATATTCATCAATTATTTGTTATTTATTAGTCTATCTATTAGGGATAAAACAATGATATATATCAACTAAGACTCCATTAAAGATCTTAAGTTTTTTACTATATTTATGTATACATTTTTAGTAATACGATAATTTTAATAAATTGTTATACATTTTTAAACTGCGAATTACTTTTTACATATACTTATTAATAAATGTATAAAAAGTTTATATGTATATAAACTGTATTCTATATTAATAAAAAAATGATTAAATTCCTATTCTATAATATTTTAGCTTCGATGCGAAGCTGAGAAGGTATTAATTTTACTATGATGTGTTTTTTTTTTTTTTTTTTTTTTTTTTTT